TTATACCGTGAGTATACTTGATTTTCATTATACATAAACCATATATAAAATTCTAGAAAAAATCAAGACTACCTACAAAAAGTACACATAAAAGAGCGAAACATAAAATGAGATATGTTCTAAGTGTTGATCACTAGAGCAATACGAAATAAGATTTAATTGATCATGCTCATATAGGAAATGATAAGCCGGACTGAGACGTGTTCGTTTCTATCTATTCTTGTTTTCTAAACAGATTTTGACACCTAAAAAAAGCTGACGTGGTCTTTAGAGTAATTACATGTGAGTTCGACACTTTAGCTCCATCTTATACTGCACTGATAACCTTTCGTAAAAGCAAGATTATCGTTTATTTCTAGCATCAGAAGGAAAGTAGTTGTAAAACTAATATATTGATGAAAATAAAAAGTGAATCTATCATACCTCTTTTAGTTTGTCTAACAATATGGATATGAAATTAAAAGTTATACTTACTGTACTACTTGTGTTGAAAATTTCACAAGTATATACACAAGGGGCAGGTGATTGGGCAGGGGACGATTATTATGATGGCGATGATTCTGCTGGTGACCAAACAACTGATCCTACATGTGGTGGTAACTGTGATACTAGTAAAAATTGTCCTTCCTGCCCATGTGGCTCAAATGCAAACAACCAAGATCCGACCGAATGGTGCAAGAAGTTCAATAAATGGAATCAAGCTTGTTGCGTATGTATTGTTACCCACGAATCAAATGGCAATGCAAATGCAATGAATTGGAATAAACCTAGGCTTAGAAAGGGTAAGATTGTGAAGAATGGTACATTTGACATTGGCTTATGGCAAATTAATCAGATCCATTTCGATTCATGTAACAACGGCCATATACCGTGTGATGTTACACAAAACTTGAACTGTGCTATAGAGGTGTGGAAAGGCCATAAAAGTTTTAAGCCATGGGCAACCTACAAAATATGTCATAATCTGAAACAATGCTGATGAACTCAAGATGATATCAATAAGCACGTCGGACTCATTCATACTCACTTTTTATCACTACTCTTTTGTTTCTTTTAACAAATTATTTAACCATGCTGAAATAAAAACTTCTATCGTATCATAATTTCGAAACTTGAGGTTGGGCTCATCGCTTTATACTTCTTCAGTTTTTTGTTCACGTAGAATGTATTCTGAACAGATTACCCTAGGAGAAATAGAATGTACAGAAAAGTAGCACAAGTGCATCTCATATAGTAACTTCTGGTCTGTCATTTATACTATGTCACTACGCTAGTTCATCTCACTTTTTAAATATTTTTTCCTATATTTTGTGACAGTTTTTGTTTGGAAAACTGATTGATCCTCTGTTGGAGAAAAAGAATAGTGAGATGTCACATCAATTCGATTGCAGCTCCGCCCGGAGAGTTGGAATATACGTGGGCTGTTCAAAAAGTTCTCAGACTGATTTTGTTTAAAAACAACAAGAAGCGCTGTTATATTAGTATTCTTACCTATGCTTAGTTCATGCAATTCTTTGTCTATAGAAATGATAAGCACTGCGGCATGAAACATATATATGAAAGCATAGAAATACATTTTAGACTGCTCTTTAGACGCTGACATAAAATATAAAACTTGAGCAAAGTTGTATGTTTTGATAGAACAGCTGTATTCAAAATTTGTGCATATATGGTGACAGTTTACAGTAATAATGCTCTATTATATAGTACGGTATTTGAATGAGTTTGTCGTTCTCAATGCGAATAAGAAAACTATTGATGATTGTTTCATATATGGTCAACACGTCAATGATATTTGGTTAGAGCATGTGACCTTCTCGTGAACTGACTTTAATCACATTTGATTGACCATGTGAAATACTTTGCACGGTACGTTTGAAATGTGAACAGTGTTCGGTGTTCACCCAGTTGAGACTCGACTGTCTTGAATCCCCAGGATTCCAACAGCTTTAATAGTTATGCCATTTACATCCAAAATTGTTATCAAAGCATAATAATCCATCTGGAAAATGACAATCACATTCAAAAGCTGTAGTGGCCGATAGAGAATCGACCAACATAAGCTGTCCTCGCACATCCGTACCTATTAAATGGGATATGGTCTCATACACTGAAAAAAATAAAGGTACCATACGAAACCTTTATGGTTCGGTGGTACTTTACTGTATCTCTAAAGGTACGATATGGACCCGCGAAACCTTTTGTAGGTTTAGCACTGGAAAAAGTTCTGTGTGATCCTTTTATGAGGTTTTGAAAAAGAAGAGGTTTCGTGCCATACTTTTTGTGGAAGTTGAAATTGAACAAAGTTTCGTATAAAACTCTCTAATGTTTCGTATCATATCTTCTTATAGCTCCCTACAACTAAAAAGTTAAAACTTTTTTTCTTTTAGATCCTCCATCGGAATCCTCTCTGATGTGGCCTTATTCTTAAAACTATCACTTTCATTT